GTTTTTTTTTTTTCATTTTGAATTACTATTTTTACTAGAAGTATAATTGTTAAATTCTAGGTATAATATAATCGGACAACATTTATTATTATATGATATAATATTTATTGGAAGACATAATTAGAAATAGTATAGATATCAAACAATATTTATGGTATGATCTGAGAAAAGGAACATTATCTTACCTACTATGAAAATTAAAATTTCATTATATATCAGCAAAAATACAAAAGTAACAAAAGTTATGAGTCAGTATAGATCCAAAATAAAATATACTAATTTTAAGAAAATTTTGGTTTAAGATTTTTAGACCATGTCATTTTAAAAGATGCTAGCCTAGCTTTGAGTGTATGTTATTTTCAATAACTCAGTAAAATTGCTAATTTTGACTCAGACTGACTTTTTTTGGAACTCCTGATTAATTTGTTCTGGTAAGATAAGATTCCTTTTCAGTATTCCTTTGGAATGTTCCAATTGTTAAACAATGTTTTTTTGCAATATTTATGTTTGTATCAGCATTACTTATGAATGTTCTTGATTGTTAAAAAAACATCATTTATTATTTTTGTTTTTTTTAGAAACGTGTTCGTCGGTGCAGTTCCAGTGCGACGACAAAACTTGCATTCCTGACCACTGGCGCTGCGACTCCCACAGCGATTGCAAGGATGGTAGTGATGAGAGAAATTGCGAATTCCAAACGTGTCGTATAAGACAGTTTCAATGTCGCTTGACTCATAAGTGCCTTCCAATTGGATGGATGTGTGATGGCGAACAAGACTGCGGAACACATCCCTTATTGGGGCCCGATCTGTCCGATGAAGATCCAAAGCAATGTCATGAAAAACAGTCTTGTTCTTGGAACGAAGCCCGTTGTGGTGACCGAATTGAATGTCGTCCATTACGCCTTTTCTGTGACGGCCATGGGGATTGTCCTGACAATAGTGATGAATGGGACTTTTGTTTAAATAAAACGCAATGCGAACAGGCACATTGTCGTTTTGGATGCAAACCCACCCTTAAGGGACCTATGTGTTTTTGTCCCGATGGTTATAGACCAAATGGGAGTGCATGTGTAGATGCTGACGAATGTCAGTTAGAAAACTCGTGTGCACAAATTTGCAAGAACACAGTTGGATCATTTGAATGTTTTTGTGTAGCTGGTTATGTCAAACAAGGAACCGATTGTATAGCTATTAATGGTGAGTACTTTGCAACGGGAGTCGTACATTAGTGAAAAACAAGCTTGATATTTCCAAAACAACATGACCTATAAGTTTGGTAGTACTTTAATATATGTTAACAATCTGTAAAAACAATCTTGCTTATTTTCACGAATAACGAACGAGCAGTTTTGATTCATAATTGAAAAACGGTTTGCCTAGAAAATTTTTTAATAACACTAGTTTTTCCCCCTGAGTCACTAAGTTCGAAACTGTTAGCACCATTGCTTCGAGTGGCTGAAATTCACTTTTGTAAACAATTTGTTTAATCATTTTCCTTGTGTTAAAAAATTGTTTGAAAAATTAAATTTAAAGGAATTGTTTGTAATAGGTATGCAACACATCGTACACTCCAGCATAAGAAATTGCTGATACTAACTACATAATACTACTTTGCCCTGTGCTGACACCCCCTTATAATTTCTTTTATATACAATATTTGTTTAATTTTCTCAAAAATCAAGTTCGGGAACGTGTAAATCGACTTTTATCTAACTTCATTTGTAGGAGAAATTTACAAATCTCATCTAAAGATAAGCAATTTTTTATTAACACATCTTTTTTAAAGTTCCAGAAACAGAGCCCCCCTCATTAATTTTCACGACAAAAGCTAGTATTAATAGGGTGACTCTTGATGGTAAGCCGTGGCCAGGCAATTCATCTATGAGCCTATTAAACAGTAACGCTTTGGAATTTTCTTACCAAGGCCGTACAATATGTTACATACATCACAACGTAAGCAATGCGTCGTTTGCATGCGCAGACGTGGATGATTTCTCAAAACGTTGGATATTTGGCAAGCCAAGCATTTTTCCTGACGTTGAATCGATCCAACAGATTGCTTTAGACTGGATTTCTGGCAACTGGTATTTCATGGACGATAACAGGGATATTGTGGTACTTTGTACAAATTTATTAAAGCATTGTCGCGTTATATTGGAAAACGAACTAAATAAGCCCCGAGCAATGGCCCTAGATCCTACACGGGGCTATATGTTCTTTACCAAGTGGAACCACGAGCCTCCTATGCTTGAACGTTGTCGCATGGACGGATCAGAACGCACACCACTAGTCAGGACGAAAATCGTTTATCCGTACGGTGTGGCTGTAGATTATGCAACGGGACACGTTTATTGGGTCGATACATATTTGGACTACGTTGAACGAATAGACAATGACGGCAAAAACAGAAAAACGGTGATACAAGGTGTTTCCGCTCAAAATTTGTATGGGATCAGCGTTTTTGAAAATCGTCTGTATGTGTCGTCTTGGCACAACGACCGCATTCTTGAACTAGATAAGGTGTCGAAAAAGGAAAAAACTATTGTCGAAAATATTATGAGACCTTATAATTTACATGTGTTTCATAAACAAAAACAACCTGATGGTAAGGAATATACATGTATACTTCAAAATGTTTGAAATATTCTTATATGTAATGATGTTATGTGGTTATAAACAATCATAATAATTCTTATATTATCATTATCCCTTAATATTAAAATGTTATTTTAATTTTCAGTTGCTCATCCATGTCGTAACAACAACGGCGGCTGTCCGCACATATGTGTTAGTAATTGGAATCGTGCAGGTGCAGCGGTGGCCACCTGTCTTTGTGCGGCCGGTTATCTTCCGACGCCCACCGGTCAGTGTACGTTACAAACGCCCGCGACATTTCTCCTAATCGCAAAGAGCAAACCAGCGTCCATTGTAGGCGTCTCAACGAAAACTAAACTAGATGTCATCATTCCCGTCACCAACGTCTCACATCCGGCTGCGATGGACTTTTTTGCTGACGAAAAGGCGATAATTTATTTCGACATGAACCGACTGACAATTGAACTCGTCACGATCAACAATGACACTCCAACTACAATTTTGAACAAAGGGTTGATAGGATGCGAAGGACTGGCGGTTGACTGGATGGGACGAAATCTGTATTATACGGATGATGGCCAAGGAACGATAAATGTATTGAGTTTAACAAATTATTCATGGCATCGAGTGTTAGTTAAAAATTCCAGTATGCATCCTCTATCGATAGCTTTAGATCCGAAACGGGGAATGATGTATTGGGCCCACTGGTATCCCCTCTCTCCAACCAATGGCTCCATATATCGTGCGTGGATGGACGGTACGCACGTAGAGAAATTTATTAGTGAAAATATTCATTGGCCTACCGGATTAACAATTGATTTAACGGAGAAGAAATTGTACTGGAGCGACGCCCATTTGAAACGAATAGAGAGCATCGATTTGAACGGAAGTAATAGACGGATTGAGTTGAATGAAAGCTTGGAAAGTCCGTTTGGTTTAGCTCTTTTCAACAGATCTCTATATTTCACTGAATATGCTAAAGGAAACGTGATGGTACTTCATCTAGACAATAAGTCGGTAGAAGCAGTCATTGATGGCAATGGGCCTCTTTACCTAATCAAAATGTTTGATCCTAAATCACAAGTGGGTAAGTTTATTATTTTTTTTTTTGTTTGATCGAACCAGTATTTTTTCTTTCATATGGTGCTTAAGTATTTTAAGCCTTGGCATTAGTCAGAGAACTTTTTCAGTTACAAACTCTTATGTTTTTTCTTTCTCTTTTTCTTTTAAACAATTAAAATTAAATCTTTCACATTATTGTTTGTATTAATCCGTACAGGCGTCAACGACTGTAAGATAGGAAATCATACATGTACTGAGTTGTGTTTGTCTACACCAAACGGTGCCGTTTGTGCTTGTTCGCAAACCTATACCTCTAAAGGTGGTACATGCGTGAAAGATGAGCATGCACCCGCAGCTTCAAATTGCAACGAAAATCAGTTCGCCTGCAAATCAAACGGCACGTGCATATCAATTAAGAACGTGTGTGATGGGTTGCCCGATTGTCCCGATGGTTCGGATGAGTCTAGCTTGACGGACGGCCCATGCAATAATAAAGGATGCCTTCCAAATCAGTTTCGTTGTGATGGATCGGTCTGTCTAGCGAACTACTGGGTCTGTGATGGTGATAAGGATTGTCTTGACGGGACTGACGAAGATCCGCAAAATTGTCGGCATCAGTGTCTCTCTGGTCAATTTTCTTGTGCTACCACCAAGCGATGTATTCCCTCTAGCTGGAAGTGTGATGGCGTTATTGATTGTGGAGCAGGAGATAACAGTGATGAGATTGATTGTGGTAAGTGATCAGATTACATACGTCAATNATTTCACTTTCCCAACACTTATTTGATTTTAAACGATCTGCAACACTTCTGGATCATCTTCTGGACTCTTGCATTTCATGTTTTTAGAGACTATCTATGGAGAATATGTTTGGAGCAAATCGCGCATCATTGTGAGTATAACGTCGAAAATTAGTTTGTGTTAGACACATTTTCTATTTTAGATACAATAAAAATTCGATGTAATAGTTTTTATTCAACCGCCAAGTTTCAACCTTTTGGCGCCTTTGTGATCCTTGTTTTCGTATTACTTTGTTAATCGAAAAGGTTAGATTACTCGTATGTTTTAAGGTGTTCATATATCACACCGTTTAAGCCTGTAAAATTGTTATTTTACTTGCATATTTGATTCGTATTTTATACTTGGTTCACTTATTAAAATGTTTGAAGCAAGACTTACTAGTGCCGCAACTTTAAAAAAAGTTTTAGAGGCGGTTAAAGAACTTCTGAATGAGGCCTCTTTTGATTGTTCTGATTCAGGCATACAATTGCAGGCCATGGATAATTCACATGTTAGTTTAGTATCCTTAACTTTACGATCAGACGGTTTTGATAAATACAGATGTGATCGAAGCCTTACAATGGGAATGAACTTAGCCAGGTTAGTTTGTGCAATAATTTTATTCACATTTTCCATAACATTTGCTTTTATTTTAGTATGAGCAAGATATTAAAATGTGCTAACAACGATGATACAGTTACAATTAAGGCTCAGGATGATGCAGATACCGTTACATTTGTATTTGAATCAAAAAAACAAGAAAAAATATCTGACTATGAAATGAAGCTCATGAACTTGGACCAAGAACACCTTGGTATCCCTGAAACTGACTTTTCATGTGTAATTCGCATGCCATCAGTAGAATTTGCACGAATTGTGAGGGATTTGGCACAATTTGGTGAAACAGTATTGATTTGCTGCACAAAGGAAGGTGTGAAATTCTCTGTTTCTGGTGATGTAGGAAGTGCTAATGTGAAGTTGGCTCAAACTAATAATTTTGATAAAGAAGAAGAATCTGTCTCTATTGAAATGCAAGAACCTGTTTCACTATCATTTGCATGTCAGTATTTAATTTCATTTACAAAGGCTACACCGCTTTCACCAAGAGTGCAGCTGTCCATGTCCAGCAATGTTCCTTTGGTAGTAGAATATGAAATTGCAGAATTGGGTTATATTCGTTACTATTTGGCTCCAAAAATTGAAGATGATGAAAACTAATGTAAATGGTAGATTGTAAGTGCATTTACATATTATTTTAACTTTTTAGGTTTAGTTTCCCAAACTTATTTTTTAAGCAAATATATTTTTAAAAAAATAGCACAAACACCTCATTGTCTTTTTTGTTTTATCATACATTTCATCCCCTTTGTAAATTTATTACACTGAAAGATATTTGTGCAGATAGAAATAAAATAATTTGATTATTTACAAGAATTTATTTTAAACATCCATAAATTAATGTTTTACTAAAATTTTAAGGACTACTTTTTAGTTTTCTACTTTAATTTAATGATCTTTTTCCCACTCTTCTCGTTCATTGCGTTCTTTGATGACTTGTTCCACGATTGGAGTGAGATATAATTTATCCTCTTCAAGTTTTGTCCACTGTTCTTTTGGCAAAATTTCCTTTTGTAATGATAGCTGCATGGCTCTTAACATTCGGTAATTTCTTTCATCAATAACCTTCTGTGGAATGCGTCGTAGAGCTTCTTTAACATCATCATTTTCGAAAAGGACATCGTCTCTCATTAAACCATATTTGTGAAATCCTGATAAATTATAAGCAAATTTTTGAAGTGCACTACTCATAAATCGTCGTTGTACAAAACCGAGAGACATTTTTAATTACGAAATGTTTAGTAGTCCTATTTTATTGTAACAACCTTAAAAAACACCCCTTACATAACCAGACACTGAACAAATGTCAATTTAAAATCACTTCTAAATTCTATTATTTTTTAGGTTAAGCATAGTTTAGAACCATTTTAGAACTTCAGAAGCATAGATAATAGTTCAGAAGTATAGAAATAGAGCATAAGTAAAATTTATGATGTTATGGAATAAGATATATTCATTTATCTTGAACGAAACAGGCGATGAATATAGGAACTGACAGCTGACTCAATTAAATATCACTATTACATTACATGCATATTTTACGATTTTTTAATGAAATCTTTTTCTTTGTATTTTAAAAATTAAAATTGATAAATAATAGTAAAAGTTAGTCTGTCATTTTTATATTTATACAATACATTCCTTTTTAGATTTAGACTACATATTTAACATATAATTTATATAGCACTTTTTGCTTTACTCATTTTAATGTTCAGAAGTATGGGAACCATGTCCATGTCCATGATCAGAAGGAAAAAAGTTATCATATACAGCTCTTTATTGGAGCATCATGCTGAGCCACTTGCATAACTTGATTGCTTGCCAAGTCCCAAACTTTGGCCTGTTTATCACAACCAGCCATAAAAACTTTTGAGCCATCATCACTCCAACACACATCTAAAACAGGTCCCCCACATGTTTGCATAGCTTTTGCTACAGTTTTTCCAGTTTGTTCCACTTCCCAACAACGGACATTGTTATCCCAACTTCCAGCAATCAAAAAGTTTTGAGAAATTGTCGCTGGAGAAAATGCTAGGGAACTTATTGAGTCGTCCGGGGGTGATGTAACTTCGAAGTCCTTCATGGGATTTGAAGAAGGAGTTGTTGTGGAGCCGAAACCCCCAGGGTGAGTACTTTGGTTGAACATACAATGAATTTTATTCTAACACCGTTATCAGTGAAATTCACAAAATCACTAAACAGGTTTCTTATAGTTATAACTTCTGAATTTCACTTTCCCAACACTTATTTGATTTTAAACGATCTGCAACACTTCTGGATCATCTTCTGGACTCTTGCATTTCATGTTTTTAGAGACT